CACAGGTAACTAGGGTCAGCCGACGTCACAGCGCTAGCTGGAGGCAGCAAAACAAAGGGGAAACTGGAGCGGCCCATTCAAACCAGCGCAGATTTGGCTACATAAGGAGATTAAAATATCATTTTGTTGTGACGTTGGGTGCCAGAATCGACGTAATACAGCCTCAAATTAGAAATGTTATCGCATATCTGCTGCCACTGCCAGACAAAAAAAAACGATGACAGCTGTGGTTAAACGCGATAAAACGAGCAGACTGGACAGAAACGATCGTCAAAAATGTTGGCAAAAGGAGAGTGGGACGGTGGGCGGTGCTCGGGGTGGTGACTGAAGGCGGTGACTGTGTAGTTCTGACGTCAACTTTTTACGGAAGTCACAACGGTTCGTGAAAAATCACAGCTACTTTATGCAAGCTGTGTGCATTTTACTGTGGACTGACTGTTTTGAAACTTATATGGTAGTTAAATAGCCCCTAGACCTCAGTTATCGTGAAAAAAGCCATGAAATTTCAGTTTTGACAATATGGGACCTTTAAGAAACAATTCAAAGACAAATCTTCATTCATACCAAGAGAGTGTAGACTTTTAAGATCAAAAATCCTTTTGCAAAAGTCTAGGTTCTAAATTCCCTCCACTACGAGTCTGTGTCAAATTTTCAATAGCTATAAAATTTAGGTCTAAGACTGAATGAGACATCTCAACAAAATGGCGAGCCACAGGCGATTTTAAGGTAGTGGTAGTGCATACTACGGAGTAAGATTTATGTTTAGCCAATTTACAGACTGCCTTTCTTATCCTCTCCAAAGCGTCATCTAACCACTTACTTGGATAACCCCCAAGTCGAAAACGCTTATACAGCTCAACCACTTTTTGTTCAAAATCAGATTCAACACTACAAATGTGTTTCAAGCGAAGGAACTGAGTGTAAGGTAACACCTTCTTTAAATAAGATGTGTGTGCACTTGACGCATGCAAGATGCTGTTTTTATCAGTTGGTTTAGAATACGAAGCTGACGATAATTTTCCAGATTCCAAAAGCAACTGAGTGGGTGTTGATTTCTACATTAAATTTAATGGACTCAACCATATTATTCAAAAACCTCACAAAATCATTAAACAGATCTTCCGAGCCCATGAGTCATGAGATCATTATTGGTATATATGTATATGTATATTTTGTTGATATAGTTGTATATGGATCATTTGGGATGACTTGTAAATGTATTTGCTGTATTCTGTTATAGATTTGATATATATATATATATATATATATTTATATTATATGTGTGTGTGTATTTGTTTAAATTTAACAATTTGTTAAATTTGTGTATTATTTGTGTATTATTTCGTGATACTAGGGGTATTACGGTAATGTTTTAATGAGCGCAGGTGTTGCTTGGTAGGACATGGCACTGAGGAAGGGTTAATACCTGAAAACGTTCTGCACTTGCACTTTTGCACTTCTTTGCACATATTTTTGTGACCTCTAAGCAATAAATGGTATAAGCCTTTTGAGCTGTATTTGGACGAGTGCGGATCTCTTTCATCTTTGTATCTTTTGGATCTACGCACCTTATGTTTTTTGCCTACTGGATTTTTGGACGAGTGTTTGGCGCTACAACCTTTTTTTTGTGAACATACTGTGGGAAAACAATTATATTTTTTATGCCATCAATCAAAAATTAAAAAAAAAAAAAATGTAAAATTAAATTGGAAAAAGAAAAAAAAAAAACTTCCAATTGTTAATGCCCGGGTTTGTGCTTGTGTATGTTGTGACGTTTTATATTACATGTTGGTTGTTTCTGTTTATTGATGTCGATGCTGCAGAAATTTCCATGTGTAGGGACAAATAAAAAGCACTACTACCAATAAATATCACCTAATAACTCAAATTAAAGAGCCCTGAGGGCAACACCGTAACTAAATCTATAGAAAACAAGACATCTGATTGAAATGCGTAAAATATTGTGAAGCTCTTCATTTCAAGAGCCTATTGCAACAAATCACATTACTGCACCAGTTCAGATCTGCTACCGTCACAATCTGCTTGTGCATGCCATGTTTGGTTGAGTGCAGGGCTGCAGGTCAAGCATATTCCTGCTCTGAAACTGATATCTGCCACTTCCTCTGACGCACAAAGAGCAACAAAGTTGGCCTGACAACCAGTAACCATGGCGTCTGTGCACAGGAACTCTGCAAGAACAAGATTAAACCTGAAGTTTCCTTCTGGACGCCAGTTCCCATTTCATAAAGACCGGATCTCTTGTAATAAAGTACAAAAAGAGAACTACATAAAAATATAAAAAAATAGTATAGTATATAGTACAGTATAGTATAGCATAAGGGGGTTTTAAACCAATTCCAATTGTGAAAATACATATTTTCGAATTTTTGCATCATATGTCAAGACTTTATTTGGATGATCCTAAAACTCGGAATGTTAATTTCCAGGATTCCATTTTTAAGAATTTAGATTTTAAATTTTAGAATATCAATGTAGTTTCCCTTTGAACCCCACAACATATAATCACTAAAAGCTCAATAAAATAAAATAAAAAAAAATAATGATAAAAAATATTTAATGATGTATGTAGAAAGTTGACATAATACGAATTCATTGGTACAAACAGCTCACAGATAACATAGAGCCTAACAATGACAACAGTAAAAGTCCTGAGATGCAGCCAAGGAACACAATAAGTTATGTATGTGAATACAAAGGAAATGGGCTAACTTTTGAACTTGCAGCCAAACAATCCATCACAATATATTAAGAATTTAGATTTTAAATTTTAGAATATCAATGTAGTTTCCCTTTGAACCCCACAACATATAATCACTAAAAGCTCAATAAAATAAAATAAAAAAAAATAATGATAAAAAATATTTAATGATGTATGTAGAAAGTTGACATAATACGAATTCATTGGTACAAACAGCTCAGCTCTCTCATGTAATGTTAATGAAAAAAGGCAAAATAAATAAATTATTTAATTAATTAAAAAAAACTAAAAATAAATAAATACATTTAAAATAAATAAATAAATAAAAACATTCAGAAAATCTGGTAGGGATTGTCATTATTGGTTTTGCTTACAGGGTTCATTAGAGTGGAAATATTTTCACAAGGTTCATAATTATTCTTAAATCAAGCTCATGGAAGAGGTGTGAACATGCAGGATGTCTTATCAGTGTCCAAAATCCAGCTTCAAAGCTTCCTGTTCCCATAATTCCCCATTAAAACTCCCATAACTCACTACCATTACACCCGGAGGGAGGAGGCTCTACGTTCTCATGCACCAGAAAAATGTTTAATAATAAAAGTTTATTATACATTTATTTCCGTTACCTTTATACCTAGGGGCCCAGTATATCTTTGTCGGATTTCCCGGATACCCTCTAGCAAACAACACACATCTAACCGAGTCCAAACAAAACCCGCGAGAATCAGCTTTCCATTCGACAAAGTTATTTAGTGTAACATTGTGCGTGCAGTTTGCACATGCCGAAATATTATGCCGCAGGAAAACAGATAACATAGAGCCTAACAATGACAACAGTAAAAGTCCTGAGATGCAGCCAAGGAACACAATAAGTTATGTCTGTGAATACAAAGGAAATGGGCTAACTTTTGAACTTGCAGCCAAACAATCCATCACAATATAAAAAAAACACTCAAGTAAAGAGACCACTACTTAAAACATTTAAGATGAAAAGACCTGCACCTCCACAAAGTAAAGGTAGCGTGCTGGTGATTAAACTACTGTAATGTCCTGCTTTCCCTTTGATGAGATTTATGGTACAGCTGTGGGACATGTGATTACAGGAGGTCATAACTAAGATGGGTGACAAGACACACACACAAAAAAAGCCTCATCTAGAAACAAGCTCACGTAGTTCACCCAAAACTGACAATTCTATCAGTCAATTCTTTCAGAAAAGGTAAGAAAAATTTTTTTTTTTATTAAATTAAAATAAAAAATAAGCAAAAAAGAAAAAAAAAGAAAAACCTAATAATCTAAAAAAAAAAAAAAAAGGAAAAATTAGAATGGAAAATTCTATTATAATTTTTGACGTTTTTAATGTCCATACAATGGATGTCAATGAGGTCCAATCAGTGTTGTTTTAGATGCCACTGACTTTCATTGGACAAAAATGGTTCTTTAAAATACACTGAGTAAAATAAATGCATGCAGGCTTGGAAAGAGATGAGTGACTTGTTCCTTTAATAGTCTCACTGGCTGACTGACTTCTGGCATTGGATTTGATTGAGGCAAAATGACACATGAAAATATTTACTGATAAACCATCTGTTTCTGACAGAGATGTCACCATGTGTGCTGCTGACACAATTCAGACTGACCTTTGAGGATATTAAAAAGATTGAAGCAGACATGAGGAGGTTTGGCAGACAGTAAAACACAAAATCGAAGCATCTTCATGCTGATTAACTGTGCTCCTTGTATTTGCACAAATCCTGGGCTATATTCCAATCAATCTTAGGGAGAAACGTCAATGATTACGATATATTTCAGATTCTGCACTATTTCTAGGTCACAAATCAAATTTTACATTTTATATATACATGAAAATATCAAAAATAAAAATAAAAATATTATTTTACATGTAAACAAATCATAAATTATATATAGTAGTATATATAGTATAATATACATTTATTTTTTTACATGTAAAACATATATGTATTTACATAAAAAAATTAAGTAATATTATCAAAACCACAGCAAGTGCCATGCAACAAACACATGCTCTATTATTACCGTTATTTACTTATTTTATATACAGAAACACGTTTTATAAAATGTAAATAAAAATAGTAGCAAGCTCTATGCAACAACCATACGCAGTCTTTAATTAGCTTTAAATGGCTTTCCTCAAAACTACTTTTTTTACTTCACTCTATAATAAATCTTTTCTAAATTTAAATTAAGGAATGATAAAATTCTTCAACATACATATTAATTAAAAGCTGATCTAAATTTTATAAATTTGCAGTTTGAATTCAAGCAATCAGTTTCTAATTATATGTTCAGACAGTTGGCTTTTGTAATCCATGTGAAGTGGCAGATCATTTATGAGTAGATTTGAAGGCATCCATAAGCTACTGACCTGCTGATACTGAGCTTAGACTCATCACATCCAGTACTCAACTTTAATGGGCCTTTAAGCCTGATTGCAGGTCAGGGGCCAAACACCCAACAAGGACTTGAGGAACCTGGAGAAAAGGTGCTGGAGGAGATTTTTTTTATTTATTCTGCGTGTCTTAGCCTTATTATAAACACAAAAAGGACCTGTCAATCGCTTCAAATTTCTAATAAAATTCATTATATGATACACAGACTGATTCATTAAAATAATGGCAAACAATTGCTTATCAGTATTTGTAGGGCTTCATATGAGCATCACTGCTTTGAAACGAAAGCTGATACAGGCCAGTTACAAAAGTCTAGAGCATCTTTCAATAACTGCACTTTGAGATAAACAAGCCCTTGTTAGTTCTAATGGGAGGGTATAAAAATATCCCAGTGGATACAAGTCACAGTAGCATAAACCAACTGAAGTCCAGCGTAGCGTGTCTGTTAATTCCTCTGCGGTTTGGCTTTTTCCTCCACTTTAAATTACTGGGTTGTTATACATTTCACTTTCAAGTTGCGTCCCAGATTCTCTCAAGTCCTTTTCTCAAATGGAACTGCCCGAGAGTCCTTACATATCGCAAATCCAAACGGAAACTGATAAAAACAGGGTTTAGCTTTCAACATTGCGATATCTTTAATGCTTCTTGAGATATAGGCATGCAAACTTTGGAAAAATTATATTTATGGCATGCAGACAGGTATGTTCAATGCAGTTGTTTTGACAGAAGTAAATGAGATACATCTAGTTTCAACATTATTTGTTCTTCAGACATTCCTCTTTAAAAGAAAATAAGTTATTTTTGCAAAGTGACCCACATTTGGTTTTTGACCATTGAAAATGTGTACAATTTAACGATTTACCCCTGGAGGCAAATTGAGGCATATTGCATTATCTAAAAGTGCATTTAGATATATTTAATACTTTTTGAATTACAGGCCTGAAAACCTCAGAGAAAAATCTTGAAAAGTGCTGTTTCCCCATTTCTGAATGGTCACCATTGGCACATAATGCAACAAAGATTGCTAAAGTCCATAGATTTTACTAATAGACCTACCAATCTCTGTGTAACAATAGCATTATGATGCTGCCATCTTTCTGAAGTCATTTTTAACCCCCTGTAATTTGGCTCTGAATCTCAGGTGAAACTTTCCATGACATTTCATATTTTGGCTATCATCACTATACATGTTTATCTTTCTTCAGAAAAATATTAGCAAAATCCAAAATTTGAGCTGGGGAAGTTTCAGAAATGTGGTTGATTTGACACGGAATGACCCTATTCTCTCAATCAGTAAAGACTAACTGTCCAACACATGGAAACAACCAGTGTTAATTTTGACAGCAAATTT